ATATTGTATTTGCTATAATTCAGCTAACTCTGGGCACAGGGAGTTTTTCAAAGTCTGAAATTTTTGGTGCAATGTACTCTATCGCTTTCCACTTAATAGCTTTGAATTCAGCTTCTGAAAGGCAGCCAGGGAGCTGGCAAAGAGTCTGGCCGTGAAATGCTGGTGAATTCAGTTTCTGGACTGGAGGAGGAATGAGGTATTTTCAGGTTCATCCACCATTGCTCACATGATGGCCAAACTCCAATGAAAAGTGCCTGAAGCCAGATCCACATGGGATTTTAAGCTCCTAAAACCTATTTACGTGCCTGAACTCCCACTGAAGTTGACAGGAAGCTAAGCACCTAAATAGAAGTTACTTTCACAGATCTTGGCCCTGGTTCCCTACGCTTGTCTGGCTGCAATGCTAATCAGCCCTTCCAAAGCTGGTGGACTGCTCTGAGATTAAGTTTCTATATGAGAACCTAAATGAAAGGAAATTCCTGGTAGAAAAAGCACCAGGACTGTGCAAAGACTCGGATCAAGTTGAACTGGGCCAGTGGAACTGGTTTAAATCAACAGAAATACTCGGTAGAAAAAATCTTACTCACAATGCAAAGATAACCTAAGGGCAGGAAAGGACACACACAAAAAAACTACTGAGAAAAGAGAGAAGTTATGGCTTTCTATAAAGACTTCTGTGGAAAGCAATGACTACAGCTGCGCGGGCCGGGAACAGAAGACGGTAATATGATATGGCATAGTTCCTAACGAAGTTAATAAAAAAAAGTCTGCCTACAGAACAGCTGCTTGTAGCTGGAGTTTGGATTAAAAGAACAGCGGCAGCCTAGAAGTCTGTTGGGTGGTATTAAGAGCATCAATAGGAGGAAAGTGAAGAACAAAGTAGAACAGATAGCAGCGGGCACACAACAAGAGTCTTCAGAAAATGGAGGTATCTGAAAAGAAAATGAATATTCTGTATTGATTACCTCTATTAATTTTTGAAAGCTTAGTTACCCAAAGGAGT